AAATTGCTAATCCACGTAAATGTACATACTTAATAACGGTATTATACTTGGAACATTCTTCCTACAATATACTTTAGATAACTACAAAATATATAATGAAAATAACAAGTTAGCAGTACATTACTGAACACGCGTACAATGTACATAGTAAGGTTCACTATTGTATTGGGCCCATACCTGTATTAATAGTTGTGCCAATAAATAAAAAAAATATTTAATAAAATTTATATGTAATGTAACCGTAAAAAGAGAACTGACACTTTTTCTGTTTGTGTATTAATGTTTCACGTAAGAATAGTTGGTAGATTTAGAATGTTTTCTGTATAGTATATATTATTAATAATATTTAAATACGGGTCAATATTTGGACTAAAGAAAACAAAACAAACAAATAAGATAAAGAGACAGACGTACACACTTTCGTATTTAAAATATTAGTATGGATATATATACACATGATAGATAGACGGCCTCGGTGGTCTAGTGTTATAGCATGCCGCTTTACTATACGAATGTCGCGGGTTCGATTCCTCGCACGGTACAAACATTTGTATTCATGAGTATGATTGTTTGTATCGGTCTGGGTGTTTTCTATGTATAATATGTATGTATTTATAAAAAAATATATCTATGTATTTGTATCAGTTATCTAGTATCCATAACACAAGCTTTAGTTAGCTTAACTTGGGTCTAGAGGGCGCTGTGTGAATTGTCCTGAGATTGTTATTATTATATATTATAACATAGACACTCACAAACCACCAAAACTACACACGCATGGAATAAATTCATGTTTTATAAAGTCGGTTGAAAATTGAGGGTTAATGGTAGCACAACAATCCCCGCGGGAGTCTTTCATCTAGCGGGTTTTATTCATACAACCCTTTGCGAGAGGCACTAAAATTTTCGTGCATAAATATCTTATAATTCGTTCCAATATTCGTATGTAGAAGAGAAATAATCTGAATATCTATCTTAGTAAAACGCGAAAATTTATGAGTGGATAGATAGATATAGATTGATGGTTGTTTGTTACTAGTTTATGCAATTACTACTGATGAAACAGTAATATAGCTTAGTACCAGTTTAACACATAGGCTATTTCAGGCAGGTGAAACAACGGGCACAGCTAGTATTTTCATATACATTTTTCAAACTTACTAATTTGGCCTCCTGTCACAGGTATTTTTATGCTTAAAAGGAGGCTTAAAGTATAGAATTTAGTAAAAATTGTATTACCTAAATAAAGAATAGTACAGTAAACGAAAAATAAAGAAAGTACAAGTAAATTGTTACCTATTATAGTCAATAAAAAGTAAAGAATAGTATAATAATAAAATCCTTACATCCTTCCTCGTAACAAGGCCAAAAAGGTCTGTTTATGTATTTATGTGCTAGTGTTTTAGGTAAAAATACCTTAGGATTTAAGATGAAATTCAAGATATATTGTAAATATAGGTCAATCTTGGTCAATCCTTGAACCGTAACATGTCTTACAAAGCAAGTTACTAAAAGCTGAAATATGTCAGACAGAAGTAGCCTTTCCGTAAACTATTTTAAATGTATAAAAACATAATTGAATTATGCATAAAAACTTAAATAAATTTATATTTAAAATACGTGCGCATTGCCGATTGATATCAGCGAAATTTATGCGTAGTGGACAGTGCTCTGGCAAATACAGTGATCTGCGTTGTTGTACTGACAATGTTGTTTATGTTTTATGCAAATATGAACTTTAAATTACGTAACGAATAATTCAATTTCCTTTACTGCATTTCGATGCATTAGCGTCGTTTGATTTAAATTGTACAATATTAAAATAATAAATGAATTATGTGACACCAGCGGTTACCCGCTACTTCATCAACTGTATTTAAATAAGGTCGAGAGTTCCAATCCGGATCGACATTATAAAAACTGTGATAATTTATATTTCTGACTGACCAATTCTCCAGCTAATAAAACGTCGATATCAAACCAAAAATTCACTCGTGAAGGCCCATCTCTTGCTATGTTAGATTGCAATACAGGCTTCGGGGTGGAAGAGTTTATCTCTAACGTAACTAGTGATCCTATTGCTAGCATTCTAGCATTCTACCTACCATGTCAGCACGACCTCTACGCTATCGTAATTAATGAGGTAAATTTGCCTTATATTATCATATGCTAGTGTCCAACGTATTTTGTTAAAGCTGGCGGGTGCAAGTTCCATTATCAGCCAAAAAATACTTAACATTATGTTCACCATGACCATAATGGTATTTTAGGATAATCGTCGTAACGATGTATTTATTATTATATATTTTTAAATAACATAATATAATTATTAATTAATTTATTATTTTCATGAAGCGATATCCAAATAGTTAATCCGATATCCAAGTATCAATAGATCCAATCCTATCCGTTCCAATAGATCATATATAAAAGATAAATAACATTTTATCGTCGCAAACATCACATCAGCACTTACTAAATGCAAATATTATAGTAACACATTTATTCGTCTCTTAAGGGTTCTTACTCGTAACTATATCGATACATATACTAACAGACTAACATTTACGGGGCAAACGTTATCTTGCCATATAAATTAAAAATTGTTATAAAAATTGGGGTTCATGCTAGAAGGGTGAAAATTTAGGGTTATATGTATTTTTCAATCCTAAATAATAATAAAATATTGTCGAAAAAATAAAAAATATATATTTAGGGGTGGATATCCCCTAAGTGTATTAATGTGTATTACCACTTAGGGGTATGAAAAATAGCCGATTCTCAGACCTAATGAATAGGTATATAAAATTTCATAAAAATCGATCAAGCCGTTTGCGAGAATTTTATATATAAGATATACATCACTTTCAGCAACAGTACTTAGTTCTTTTGAGTTTCTATATTGTGATTTCAAATAGATCATTGGAACATTATATATCACTTTCAGTAAAAATAATTATTTGTTTTCAATTTCTATAGTGTATTTCAAATAGATCATTAAAAAATTGTAACAAATAAGTTAAAAAAGGACTTAGTTCAATAATATTTACTTCATCTGTTGATTTGTCAGCCATATTAAGGTATTTGTAATGATGTATAATTAAATTAGTAAAATGAAACATTGAATATACTAATAAAAATATTAAATGCAATATCTTATATATAAAATTCTCGTATCACAGGAAGAAACTTGTATGGTGCTCTTTTAAATAATCGTTGTAGTCGAAATGCGTGAATAAAAAAATAAAGAAATATATTATATCATATTAAAATAGTTTATATCAACAAAGACGGACATATGCTATCTTTTATTCCATTAAATAATCTAAACGGGTGAAATATGGGATCACAGTTTGTGCAGACGATACAGCAGGTAACTTCTATCTATATCTGTGGAATTATATGAAAACAAACAACCATTGGCGTGGTATAAATCAATCAATTGTGTACCGCGAGACAATAAGCGGGAAGCGATTGGGTCTAATTTTAAACAGATCGTTACGTAAAGGTCCTATATTTGGATATGGGTGAGTTGTTTCTCCGTGCTGAACAAAATTATCCAATGTTTTTGTATCGTGTTCGCAACAGTACCTTTGTTGTTTACTTTTTGTTCATTTAGAAGGAATAGGTTTATAATATAAATAAATATATCTTTATAAATGTTATACCAGTAAGGGTTGTCTGAGGCGCTGGGAATTCTGAGCATCAGAGTGACCATGCATATTCATTATATACAATACTTGCCATATGTGCAAAATGCACATATGGCAAGTAATGTAAAGTAATTATAATAATATTTACACAATGCCATCTAGTCCCAAGTTAAGCAGAGCTCGTGTTAAGGGTATTAGACAACAAGATAAATACTTACATGGATATTTTTTTTGTAAATAAATACATATGATACATAGACCCAGACCAATACAAACAATCATACTCAGGAATACAAATATTTGCACCGTGCGAGGAATCGAACCCGCGACCATCGAATAGTAAAGCGGTATGCTACTCCACTAGACCACCGAGGCTGTGGTGAAGATGAATAAAACAGCGTACACACGTCGCTAAATGGGTCATATCAGAACAGTGGTCGTGGTACGACCAAGATAACTTCCTAATCGCAATTTCATATAATTTGCTCACTGGTACGATTTTACCCCCACCATCGCTGCTATTGCCTCTCATTTTAACGTCGTTTGTAGGTCTTATACAGGATTGTAAAGGGCAGACTACTAACTCCTACTACTAAGCAGAGGGGAAAGGAATTGTTAGTAATGTGGATTAATATCTCCATTGCTAGCAATGTACCATGTCAGGTTGACCTCCACGCGGTTCTTCCAGGAAACCATCGTGATAAACTTTTAGTAAATTTACCACGATGGGCTAACTGACCTGACCTCATACTCATCTTATCATCCTCCACTGGTGCCCCGCCAGCGTATACCGTTAGCGCAGGTGAGTCCACCATACCATTATCATCCCTTGAGAACTACTCAGCAGACAGTAAGTAGTAGTATTCATAGTAATATAGTAATATCCCTGGACTATTCACAGAGTGCTATTGGAAGTAAAAAGATGTGCTAAACCACTAGACCACCGAGGTTCATAAAACTGAATAACTGTTCCCAAGATGCAAAGAGGAAAATATAAAACGATATTTAGTCTATTCATCTTTTGTTTATGCAACCTACGCGGTCACGTCAGCAATGTGGTATGAAAAATTCACAATATATTCATAATGTGAAATTTCTAATTTGTATATTGATGTAATCAGTTCAGTTTCTATATGATAATTATTAGGCGTGGTATACGTCCTTACTTATTTCGTCCGTATTTCTTATATATCTGTGCGAGGATTTTCACAAACAAAATTGGCTACATAAGTCACATACGATTTATGATATATATATATTAATCAACGGCAAAAGAGAAGAGTTGAAGACAGTCAACGTGACCGAAATCGGCCGGGATTACAGCATCATCATCATATCTGTACGTACCTTTGAATACATAAGACTCAATGGAAGACTCATTGCTGTGGACAGGATCCAGACGAAAGCTATTTTCACAGTTACTCTTTTTCTCGTCTTATTTCTTCCAAACCGCATTGGATAACGCAATGAGAGATATCTGCAAAAAATAATTTCCATTGCTTCATTTTAGTTATTATTTTTATTTGTTAAGATCATTATACACTAATGTAATGTGATCTTGTGATAATTCCACCTACCTATAATAAAAAACAAAAAGAGAACAATCGACTTAAATTAATTCGATACTATCCAGAACAATAACTTAGCTGCATCTGAAGCTGGCTCTTCTAATATTTCATGGACTATGATGATGATGTTATATTTCATGAATATTTCATACTTTTTACTTGGAGAAAATCCCTCATGTAGCCATGGGATATACTAATGATCGAACAAAAGTTAATGAAATTTGATATCACGTGGACGGCGATAGTTTAAATTTTCCCAAACGATGTAGAAAAAGTCTCGGTCCATAGCTAGTTTATAAAAGTGTAATATCATACGATAATAAATATTACCTGTCAACGCTAATGGTACAAAGGTGCATGATAGAGGCTGTACATAGGAGCACGTCGAGGCAAATCCAAGTTAAGCAATACACGGCGGGCAGCGGAAAATAACCTGTAACAAGGAGAAATTGTTGTTATAAGGAGAAGTTGTATGATACTACAAGAATTATTATACCAGAGAGAGGCATAGACTAATGTTGTAATTTATTAACTTTTAATTTGATTATTCATAGTGTGGAATACGATTCAATGTATTAATGTAGTATAGGAGACGGCCTCAGTGGTCTAGTGGTTTAGCACACCGCTTTACTTCCGTTAGTCGCGGGTTCGATTCCTCGCACGGTGCAAACATTTGTATTCAAGAGTTTGATTATTTGTATCTATCTGGGTGTTTTCTATATATATTATGTTTACAAAAAAGTCTTAAGCATTTATGTCAGTTGTCAAGTATCCATAACACAAGCTCTGCTTACGATTAGCCTTACCAGATTAAAATATAGCAGTAAAATTAATGGGTATGGGTATTAATGGGTACCATAACATTATTCTTAATAATGACAAGGCTTGAAGAGATATTGAAATATTTACTAAAATCTATAGAGCACAGTGAATTTTTAGTATGCATAGTGTTTATAGTCTCTGTTTAGTACTTCCTAGTAGCCGCTTATGTTCTTCGTCATTTCAGTTGTGAAATAAATTGCAATTTAACAGTAGCGAATTTCAGTGACACAACTAATAGAAGCATAAAAAAGACGCTTTATAAAATTCTCCCCGGTCGAGCTTATGGGAAAATCGCCGGAAATTCCTTTCAGCAACATTTTATATCTTCACACTTAATGGTCGCAACTTGGAACCTCTTATTGTCGCCCGCGATAGTAGCTCTCGTTCCATTTTGTACCCCCTTTTTATTATCTACCATATCTGAAATAGCCATTTATTTTGACGTAATAACGGAATTTGATTGAGATTTTTTTTTATCAACTTCTAAAAGGGGTATATCATGAATTCAGATATACATATATTTAGCGTGTTCAATTTAAACTTACGTAGTAAAAATGTTACGATATCTGTGTTAGTACTGAATTTGATTAATTTTAAACCTTTTAAAATTAGTTCAGACTTTAATTTTGATGATTTACAATCTGTGTAAATAGATAATTGCTTTTGTTTATCTTATTATTCCATGATATAATACTTCTATGTTTAATTTTTTTTATTTTGTAACTTTCTACGATGCAAAGCCAATTTAACAGAAACAATATACAATTAAATCAAATGATGAAATTAAAATTGAATACTAATTAATTTTATATCCAATCATATTTCATCTCATAAAGACTAATTAAAAACCACAAATTCTTTATTAGCATCGTTATAAGGCGTAATATAAACCAATGGTTATAAGTAACGAGCTTTTAACGCCTGGTGATAACTGCGCGCCCAAAGTAAACGATACCTACCCCAAAACATCCATCATTAGTGAGTGACCAACCGATGTTTACTAAAACTTCCATGTTGCTTGTAATATTATCCCGGGTGTAAAGGGGTAAACATACCCCTGAGAGAGATTTAAATGTAAACCTCTACCCACAAATCAAATTCACTTGACTCGTACATTTTTTTACTATTTCTATTTTTAATTTTATATGCCTACCGTAATACATCATATAGATTAATTTGCAATGCCTATTTTTTACAACTATTCTAATGCTGTTGGCCGTAGCCTGACCTTTACAGTTTCGTCGGACGAAAATAGGGGCAATTGCAGAAGGCATTTCAATTCTGGAGAGGGATTTAAAGAGCATCTGATATATCTTCTATCTAAAGGATACGACTAGTCTTGGGTTCGAACCTCGGCTCAAAATGTAGTAAATACAATCCCCATTAGAATACAATGGAGAATAACAATGATATGGACTTTAATTAAAATTTTTAAAATGTTATTATTTATCATCATTTACACCTTAAAACTCTAATAGCGAGTTTTAGGATACTATTAAATGCTAAACAATTTACAATGATATATAATACTATGTTTCGTAGTCTTTGGTGGTTTTTTTAAAAACTAAGTTACCTTAGTTTTTAAAAAAATTCGAAAAAAAAATTTTTTTAATTTAAATGAAACAATAATAATAATAATATATTTTATTGACACCAATTTAAGTAGTTACAGTTATTCTCCTTATAAACTATTACATTTTTGTTAAATACGCATCATACATATAATTTACCAGTAGCAACTATACTAGGCCGAGCCTGTATCATAGATACTACCTTCTTCCAGCGACAAATAGGTAAAAATTAAAATGTTGCAATTGCGTGGGTAGATTTACATTTCAACTTGTACAAAATATGAATGAATTGCATTGGCATCAATCCATTCGCAGCTCGTAAACAGGTTTACAAGTGACTCAGCGCGACCACAATAACCATGAACATAAACAATATAATAACGTTAGTTAACAAACTAAAATAATATAGTTTTAATTTTATCTCTTTATATCTTAATGTACGCTTAATCTTAAATTTTATTTTTTAAATATATTTTTATATTTTGAGTCAAGACTTTAATATTATAATCATAATCCTGTTTTGACTTTATTATTGTTTTACAGGTTTCAGGATCGCATAAATATGACATGCCTGTTGATATTTTATCTATGTTGGAATTTATTTTATTATTATTTAAGAAATCGAATTTTATAAAGAATTTTTACGGACTTTAACAAAACTAACAGTAGGCTTCCCATAGCAGATACTTGAATGTATGTAAATAGAGTAGTTGTATAGTACTTTTCGGTGTATGTGTATATAAAAATATATGAAACATTATATAATGTATTTTGTAATGTAGGTTTTACGTTATATATAAAAATAAAATGAAGTATTTCTAACCATTTATAGTTCCCCTCGTTGCCTACAGAGACTAGTCATATGACATTCTTGATACTGCTTAGTTGAAGTTCATCCTTTATTTCAATGTGTGACGATTCTTGTGTTTTCCTAATATATACCTTTCCATTTCTTGTCCAGCAGAATTTGTACTGTTCCGATTTTGCTACATCACGAGCCAGAGAAAATAGTGTGCGACTCCTATTGGTAAGCGCTTCAGATACGTAAATTGGCTTTGATTCTCCGGCTAGACCAATATCACCAGAACTTAGTCTTTTATTAGGATTTTGTCTGTTATATATTCGAGCATTTCTAACAATATCGTCCTTTAGGATGTTTCTTGTAAACTCCGTAACTATTGTGTTATTGTTACCTTTGCCCTTTAATAAAATTACATCCTTTATGTCACTTTCTGCAACGGTTACGTTCAGGAGTTTGCAAGTAGATTGTACTATATTGCACATCTCTTTTTTGTTGTCTAATTTCTTCTCTTTCGGTAGATTTCTAATTTCTATGGAGGATTTTTTAATAACCCTTTGCAAGTCTTCAACCCTTGTATCCAAGTAGGCTATCTGAGCCATATGGGTTTTACGTTCAGATTCAAATTTTTCCATTTTTTCCCTCATATCTTCGTATTTGCAACTAATAAATTCCAGTGCTTTTTCAATTTCCTTGTTTGATTCTTGTATTTGTGAATTTTGGAGTTTAATTTCGGCAACATCAGATACTAATTTATTTAAAATCCGATTTTGTTTTTCCTGCCAGCTAGACATCATATTTTTTATATCTTCGGAATGTTCTTTATTTGCAGGAGATCCTCTTCGCCGTTTTGTTCTTTGAGTGATATGTTGTCATGGTCAATTTTAGTAAGATCTGTATCCGACATCGTAGTCTTTTGATCACGGTTAGGAGGCGATCGGATTGTTTTTGGCATTTTTAATAATTACTAAAATTGTCTTGTGTTCAAAGCTTCTTGGGTCACACTAAGCGTTCAGAGATATCCAAACTATCTTGAACCGTAACTTCTATTAAATAGCAGGATAATAGAGGTCTTGTTATACTGGCTTATTGGACAAAAGCGCAACTGATATTTAAAAGAATTCTATTTAAATTTAATATTTTTATGGAAATAAAATATAGTGGACACGACTACACACAATCGCGACTCGGACGGAAGAGGAAACAGTATCTATATACTACTTATTAAATAAAAAAGAATATTCTAGTCTCAAGTAAGTTATTGTTAAATAAAATACTAAGTAAAAGGACATTTTCTAAACAAGTTTACTGTTACCTCGCTAACTTTACTGCTACGTTCAAGGTGTTAAGTTAACTACTAATAAATATTAGCATTAACAACAAATGTAATAAGGAAGAAAATTTCTCACACATTATACTAACACTACGCCTTTAATATTAATATAAATGAACGATAAATCCAGCTGTGAATGGTGCGGGATAAAGTGGAGCTATAACCTTAGCTAAATTGGCGGCCAGATATGTTTCAAACATAAGCATGTTTCGGAGTTCGGTCTAGTTTTTGTTGGGTAATACTGGTCTTCATGGTAATTTGAGTATTATTTTTGTACATTATCGGAATAGTAACTGACGGTAAGTGGCAAACATCACCTATATACATGAATATCATGACGAATATCATGACATGATGTGACGTACGTGGTACGCGTCAAGTGTTGCCATTTAGAAGGAATAGAGTTTCGTTTTATTATGCCTCCGTAATTTTACTGACATGTCTCACCCTCCTATCGAAACACAGATTAGAGCTAGATAAAACTAATTCATTAAAATTTATATGAACATTTTATATGGTGTGTTGATTCGTTAAACTATAGTTATATGTGCATATACTCGTATGTGTTATAAAATCAATAAATAAATCATTAGAACATCTCTCTTTTTATATAAAATAAAAAGTGCTTAGAGAAAGAGTCGATTTTCTTATGAGGAAAGCCAACACTAACCTTAATTAATTTGAGAAATTCTTTCACTTTTTAAAAGAACTTTTCGCTAATACATTAAAACTACTTAAAAAAATTGTAATATTTGTATTAATAAAAACTGTATTTAAGTAGATTAATGGACAAATTAAAAAAGCCGTTAAGTGAGGTAATATTTGTATAGATGGTAAAGAAAATCCAGATTTTCTTTGGATAAGGATAGGGTCACCATGCGTCTGTGTTTATTATGATGAGTCCGGAT